CTCTGGTATTTTCAAGCTTTCTCATGCTTGACTTTTCAACCTTATTGTTCGTTTACTATAAAAAGATATTATTATTAATGCTAGCATTTTGAAGCACCTAAAGGCTAATCAGACCTGTGCTTCATTGCACTGTGGAAGCATTTGAAAATGACGTTCTTTTTCCTTAAAGCAGGGACTCTGATATAACACTTGGTTGAGGTGAACAAGTGGACCGAGGGAGACAGGATAGCAAAAATATTAGGACATGAGCCATCAGTTTCAGACAGTTGAATAAGCACTTGTATTTTTGTTGCTTGCTTAAATCAAAGAAAACTTTCAGCACTCTGGAGACCCATTCATCGTCTTAGGAGCCAATATGTACTGTGTTGTTCCATAACGTGTGATAGTCAGTGATGGTATCTTTAAGCACAAAAAAGTCCTACTTATATTAATGACTCTACTTAGTTATGGGTGTCCTTTAAGTACCTTGCTGAATCAGACCCCATTATAGCAATTTTCCTCAATAGCTGTAGCTCAGATGTGACCCTCAAGGGCTCTTTTGGGGAGCTTCAGTCTGAATCTCACCAGCTCTCCCTATCAAGAATAATGCTGTAACAACAACAGTCAGCCAACACCATCTAATTTTGCACATTATTTTGTGTTTTCAGCCACTCCATTGGCTCTCAGGCTGGTGGAAGTTTAATATTGGCTGGCTCTACATGGCACACCAGGAAGAAAAATGTCTGCTGTCAGTGAATTAATTACCCTGTTTGGCACCTATCAACCTCTCATTTTTTAAGTCATCCACAGGTAAGTAAAATAGTCTGACCTATAAAAGTATCAAAAAATGGAAAAAAATATAGATATATCCATAAATCTGTATAAACAGAATCAGTGATGGATGAGTACCTTTACATTTTGGAACCATATGTTTGCTGACTGATTGGAAGGAGCATCCCATAATTCACTCGAGAATCTGCCTCTTGTGAGTTATTGTCTCCTTCATCATTTAAAGAATATTTCATCTGCTGCAGATGAACTCTAGCCACGGTAACCTGTCTGGCATTTTGCTATTTTTCTTTTTATCTGTCTTATACCATTTGATTTTGTATGGTTCAGTCTTGCAAGTTAAAACCCCTGGCATCTATATTGTTCAATTTTAGTGTATGAGAAAGCCAATCCAGCAGAGTGTCCAGTGTTAATTCTATGCCTCTTTCCTAGGCATGGTTACTAATTAATTGGTTTTGGCAGCACTGTACATATTCATTGCCCAGAACTATATACTGTAGTATGTAATAAATGTATATCAGATCACTAACTTAGTTGCATAATTTACTGTAATGCAGGCATTTTGGTGTACCTAAGCATTTTATGTTAAAAACACTTAAAATCTCTTGAGAAGATATGTAGTTCCATTGATTTGGGACTTGAGTTCAATTCCCAGCCCTGCCATAAATGTCTTGTATCATTTTTGGTCATACTGCTTAAACTTTTTGTGCCCCAGATCCTCAAATGAGATGCAAGGACAATGTCTCCCACCTTTTGTCTGTTCATACTGTTAGCTCTTCAAGAAAAGTGTATTATATCATGCGAATGGCATCTAGTGTTATGGGGCTCTTACCTCAACTGTGGCTGCCAGTGCAATTGGAAGATGAACAATAGCAATGTTCTCAGTGTCTACACTTGCATTTACACCGGCTTAAATTTACTGTGCAGCAATTTACTGCACAGCAAGCAGGAATAGGTTGGCTTCTACACATGCAGGCATGAAAGCACATGAATGCTGTGTGTGGACTGACTTGGGACTAACCTTAGTCCCAAGTCAGTCCACACACATAGTGTTACTGCTCAGTAAGACATCCACATGTGCGTTACTGCTCAGTAACTAATTGGGTATAAATTTGATACCTGCATGATGCAGGTATCAAATTTATGCTCAAGTTGGTGTAAGTCACCATATTTACTGCACAGTATGGGTGTGCACGTAGATGTGTGCTGGTACTGCACAGTATTTTCAGTTACCGCACAATAAATGCACACATGTAGATGCACCAAGTGATGGGATTCTTTGCAGGAAGAAGGAATAAAACTTTGCAGTACACATAGATAAGATTTTGTTTGTGTCCTTTACATGTTTTCAAAATTGTTATAATTTTGGACAAGCAGTTTTGGAAATAGACAAAGAACTTTACCAACAAGAGTTATAAAGGTTGGGATGAAAAAGTTAAGCTTTTCTTCCATATTGTACAAGTGGAAAAATAGGCTTCTTTAGCATTATATTTAAAAATTTGCTGGACAAAATATGCGTTAATCAGGCCCTACCTGGCGTATCATATTCTTTGGAATAGCTCTTCCTTGAAGGAACAGTGCAGTCTCAAGGAGTAAGTGGTAAAGAAGTACTGAAACCCAGTGTCAGCTCTTATAGTGGTTTGCACTGTGAACTTGGGCAGACTGACTCTTCTCACTACTTCAGTCCCTTTTTCTGGAAAATGGGGATAATATCACTTAACAGTGTACATATACTTTTTTTAAGGTCAATTAATATTTGTACAGTTGTAGCAGGCTTACCTTTCAGAGCTTGGGTTGAGTTCCAGGCTTGAGATCCTGCTGTTTTGATTGGCAGAGCCCATCCACCAATCAGAAGGCAGCAGGAGAAATAAAGTTATGCCCCTTTCCTGAGGAGGGGTGGGGAGAGAAGAGCTCCCTCGGACCTGATTGAAGACTGTAAACTGTCAGGTCCAGAAGATGTCAGGGGCGGAGCCCTGGAGCATATAAAAGGAGCTGTGCACCCAGCACAAGGGGCAGATGCTGCGAGGGACTCAAGAAGAGCGGAGCCAAGAAAAGCTGGGAGTTTCCCCACAGTAGGCAATAGACCCAAGGCTCCTAAAGTTGCCACTGGAGGAGCAGCCTTGGGAGCGGTAAGAGCCTGCTCGGGCTGTTGATGGCGCACAGGGACAATGCATGGAGACCCGGTCCTGGGAGTGGTGTGAGACTGCTCGGGCACATCACATCACAGTGCGCAGTTCAATGCACGGAGCCTAGGCTTTGGGAGCCGCAAGTGGTGGCTTGAGCCTGCAACCCCGGCAGGGCCTTGGGGGCTGCAGTGAGGCGGCTCAGGCCCCATCTCCTGGCAAGCAGCCAGGTCCCACGGTGCACAGGGCGACACATGGGCCCGAGCCTTGGGAGCGAGGGAGCCACGAAGGCTGCTTGGGTTAGCCACCTGGCATGAGGGTCCAGCCTGTGCTAAAAGAGCCCTCAGTACTGAGCCATGGTACAGGGAAATAGTAGTTTTGCAGCATGAGGCTCAGCACCCAGGAGCCAGCAGCAGTGGTGCAGCCGCTGAGAGGAGCTGAGCCCTTGGTGCCCAGAGTGGGGCACAGAGTGGAGAGGAGCCCAGCAGCGTGGGAGAGGCCTGGAGAGGTGCTTCAGCAGAGGAGACCCCATCAAGCTGCACCCTGACCACTGCTGCCTGGGGGAGCGTGAGTCATTGGGCCCTTGGGTCCCACAGGGGAAAGACATTTGGGGCGGGCAAACCCAGAGAAGGGGCTAGTGGAGGCCGTAAGAGGAGGGGGCCCTGGTGCTCCCTGAACACCCCTGCAAGGGACCCCATTGCAAGGAGGACTATCGCTTGCCATGGGTCAGGGACTATATTAAGGAATAGATGTTATTAAAATTGTTCATGTTTGTGCCTTATACTTTGTTATTGAAATGTTGTATTGTGATTTAGTTTAGTGTTCTCTGTGTGTGTGTATATCTATATATATGATATTTAGTTTGATATTTATGTATAGTATAACTTAATAAATTGTATATAGTTAAGAACTTTGGGTTCAGGCTGACTCCATAGAGGAAAGAGGGATCTGCTTAAAATTCTGGCATCCCTCTCACAGCACCTCCTCCTGCCTACCCATCGTACTCAATTGAGAATAGGGCCCACCCTTGGGTGTACCCAGCTTACACAGTGCTTTGACCATGTGGAGTACTAAGACCTTAACATAATCTCTATTCACTATACTTCGTAGATTCATAGATTGTAAGCCGCTGGAAGGGACCTCACAAAAGCATTGGGTCCAGACCCCGGCACTAGGCAGGAAAGACAACTGGGGTCAGGTGACCCCATCAAGGTGACCGTCCAGTCTCCTTTAGAAGATTTCCAGGGTAGGTGATTGCACCACCTCTGGAGGGAGTTTATTCCACAGTGTGGACGCCGTAACCATGAAGAAGTTTTTCCTAGTGTTAAGCCTGGAACGGTCTTCCAGGAGTTTGTTTACCCCAAGGGTGCACTGGTGAACAGTTGTTCACCAAGTCCTTGATGTACTCCCCTGATGTAGCGGTAAGCTGCTACCAAGTCTCCTCTCAGCCTTCTCTTTTTTAGGCTGAAGAGACCCAAGTTCCTCAGCCTTTCCTCATATGTCTTGTCTTGCAAGCTTCTATTACTTTGTGAATGGACTGGTTCAAATAAAATAAGAAGCATCTCATATTTTTCTCAGGCTAATAGTCAAAGTGAAACTCAACACTTCTGTTATGTACTGGTAGAGGCTGAACTCCAGGAAAGTTTGATTATTTCAGGATGACCTAAAATCCTTTGACTTTTTCTCTCTCTATTTGAAAGGTCAGAGATATTTGCAATGGAGATGTGTACACTGGGCAAGACAGAATAGGAATCACAACATAGTTCTTTACCAATCATAGTAAACATTTCCTGATCAATAAATAAATCAATCAAATTCAATCTATTTATTATTTCTCATTTCTCACTTTCTGTTCCTTTCTGATAATTGAAGTGGAAGTCCCAAAGGAGGTGGCTTTGACATGATTGCCAAGTTGGTCAGTTGGGTTAAGCATCCAAACCTTGAGGTCAGATCCAACCCAAATCTCAAATCCATTGTTTGAAATGTTTCCATCAGTAGGAGGCATCATTGGGGTTTTCAGTCCAGGTAAAGCTCACTAATGGGGGTCTAATCTCTTTTTACAAGCTGCCCCTGTCTGAAATTGCTTAGGTGTTTGAAAAGCTTTGAATCTAATCAGAAGTCAATCCATTGGAGATGGATTAATGGACAGACTGAGACTGCTTTAATATTTTGATGGACACCAGGGCAGGATTGGCTATGCACATGGAATACAGTAATGCAGGAAAGATTACACTAGATGTATCCCTGCTAAATTTCTGGGCATTTCCAAATAAAACAGAAGTGTACCAATGCCTGAGCATCTCTGACTAAGTTGGGTATCGTGCTGGGAATAAGAGATTCTCCACCTTCTTGCAGAGCCTGACATCTAAGGCTTCATTAAACATCATAACTGAGATTCTCAATGCTGCCTTGGGGAACTGGGCATCACCTCAGTGCATCACAAAATTTCTGCCATCCAAAATATATACTTCTATCTAGTGGAGTACCTATTTGTTATCTTCCATGATGACAGATTACTGAAGAGCAGTGGCATTAAATGGCTCTGGAATGAAGAGGTACAAAGCATGAGGGCAGGGAAGAAAATGAAATATTATAGTACTCTGCTTCTGTTTCAGTTACCTCTCTATGCCTTGTTTTAAAAGACTGAACTGATAGTTGAGATATATCCAGAGTAAGCTCTGAGGACCAACAACCACTGCAATTGCTCAGCCAATTCTAAATATCATATAAGTGATCTATGATCTATATAAACTGGAGGGCATGGTCCTAGCTTTCCTCATGATAAGACTGGACATCTGATCACCTGACAGTCCAACATTATTACTGAGTAACATCAAAATATTTTGCTTCCTTTCTCAATAAATAATTATTTTAACACGATAAATTCAAAAAGCCATCTTATATGACATTTAAACTTTAGAGCAAAATGACTGAGCAGTGAATAATGAAACTTGCCCTGTTGATGGATTGCATGTTACCTTTCTATTCTTTCTCTCTCCATCATTGTCAGCACCAGCATTTCTCTCCTCTCTTTGGTGATTCACCTCACCCCCAGTAGAAGTACAGATTATTTGAAAATGTTTCATATTGAAAGCAGCTTTCATGCATAAGGAAACTTTAAAGCCAATGGGACTTAAATCATGAATCCATTTATATTCCCCTTTCTATGTTTTGGTTTGTCTTAGATTTATTTGTTGACAATACATATTTTTAAACTAGGTTTTCCTCTCCTTCCCAGAATCCTCATTTCTCCTTATGTTCAGCAGATGTCACAAGATTGCTGTAGTTCTGAAGGGCTGTCTCAGTTTCTCTATTGCTTTCAATCAAACCTCAAAAGCTTTGGTTTTCTATATTGTCCAGTTGACCTGGAAGCTTTTTTTATGTTTCCAGACTCCGTGACTCTGGCACATGAACACACTGCTCTCATGTGTGCTTCACACAGCAACACTTTTGTCTACTGTTTACCTCTGAACAGCCCCGGTAGCATCCTACATGCCAGCTGGTTCTCAGATGAAGTCGGAACTGTCTCAACCAGTGAGCAAACAGTCCCAGCTGCCACCCAATGGTGTCCCTTTAAGCCTAGATTAGGAGCATCCACTTCACAGTGTAACAAAGGGAGCATGGGCAATGCAGAGGGGATGTGGCATGGGGTCTGAGAGAGAAAGGAAGGACTCATATCAATCACTTTTCAGTTCCTGTTGCAATGAACACTGTCTTAACTAGGGACCATCTCTTTCTGTTTGACTATTCAGAGCTCAGCCCAAATACCTGACCAAAACCCAAAATCTTCCTGATATAAAGCTATTCTCATTAGTTGTTAAAGCTTTGCTTCCTTTCTACAACCCTTTCTTCCACATTCACTGTGTTTCTGATATACACTACATATCACATCCAAGTGACTTTATCTTGAACCAAAGAAAACTGAGAAGACCAAGGTCTGATATTGGTAACTATTCCCTTTGAGGTTCTTTTATGGGTTTTTTTCCCTTCAATTGGACACTGAGCATCATATCCATGATCAAATAAATGTTTAGCCTACTGCCAACTTCCAGGAACACTAATCACTAAAGAAAGCTTTTGAGCTTGGAGATGATCCAAACCTCTACAGATTTCAGCCAATCAGATTTCTCCCTGCCCCTAGGGAATTTCAAGGGGAAACTGCAGCAATGCCTCCAATACTGTGCTGGATGCCTACCAAATGACCTTGCTGGGGTCGTTTGACCCCAGTACTCTTTCCTGCCATGGCAGGGGGTCAGACTAGATGATCTGCTCGGGTCCCTTCCGACCCTAGAAACTGTGAAACTATGAAACCATGAAAGGTGGGGTTGCATGAGGGTTGCCAGGCCCTCTTATATGACCCAGAAGGGAATCTGTCTGCAGGTAACTAAGATGATGGTTACTTTGAGTTCAATAATATTGCTAAAAGCTTTGTTCTAATGTAAGAATTCTCAGGAGTCTACATCTTAATTTAGGGATCATTAAAAAGTGGAAAGAAGCAGATACCTGTGCAGTGGCTGTCTCCTTCTCTACATCTCTCTTGAGACTTTGCATATATCTCAATATGGGGTTTTAATGCAAATAACATGTATTTTTAATTAATTCTTTCACAGAAACCTCCTATGGGTTTCTGCACTCTGCTGTCAAGAATGGTACCTCTACCTCCATTTTGTTCTACGATTCAATATATTCCTGCCAGGGATGCAACATTCTTCTTCTACAGACACTCATGGTTGGAAATCTTTGCAAACAACAAATGGAAAAGGTATGGATATGCACAGTTTGTACCTTCTCTGAGACAGTTGCTCCGTAGGTCTTTTTAACTGTGAGCACTTGCCCCTTTAAAAACAGCTGTGGGTGTTTGATATATGGTATAAAAGATGGTTTTTGACTGAATGATATTGATATTGATATTTAATTTTGATGGAAAATAGTAAGAGAGAGCTGAATTTAGCAGCCTTTCACCTTAAAAGCTTGCTTGCATATACTGATAAGGTGACAGGCTAAACATGGGATTTATGAATGTATGTTTACTGAAGTTCCCCACTTAAAAATCACTTAAAATAACAATTGAATGTTGTTGCATGATAACATTCAAATGAACTTTCCAGACAGTAGTTTTTTAAGAGCTCCTCAAAAGTACTGCTCTTGGTTGAATCATGCTCGCCCTCCCAGTTGTCCCTCAAACCTTAGCAAACTTTGTAGTTACCTGAAAGGCAATAGATTTAAAATATTTTGGCTTATGGATGTCTCCCCTCCATTTCCCTCCTCTCCCCTTTTTACACATCAGCATCCTTAGGGGCTCAGTTTTGGGGCTTCTCACAGCCTTGTTGCTTGGTGCTCGTCTGTGTTGTTTAGGATCTTCTTGACCCCAACATTTCTGACTTCCTCTCACATCCCATATTTCTCCTTAGCTTTCTTAGAAACCTCACAGACTTCTTTTCCATCTTCATTCTGTATCAAAATATCTCCTGGATGGAGAATTATTCTCCTGGCTGGGAAACTCTCAGGGGACTCACTCCATGTCAGCTCCTCTTATCAACAGTTAGTCTACAGTGAGCACATCTACATGTATGCCTCAGTGCATAGCAAGTACTAAATGACTGTGCAGTAACTGCCAGTAGTGCACGGTCCCGGTGGCACACAGATCATTTCCAACCCTCCCGCACAGTAGCAATGAACTACTGTGCAGTAGCGGTGGCATCACGGTTAGTGCCTGCCAGCGCTGTGTCACCATAGCAATGAGCTACATCATTGTACCTCGTTGCTACAGCGATGTAGCACCTCATGTAGACACACCCACTGTTGCACCACTGGCTTGATCAGTCCTCAAACCATAGCCTCCACTCTGCTAACTCCAAACAGAGTGATAGCCAGGGACACCTCTTCATCTAAAAGTTTTGAGTTTGGTTCTATTAAGTGCTCCAATGCTTGGAGCACTTTCTTACATGGGTAAACCTAGAGGAGGTGTGTCCTCCAGAAAAGACTGCTTCCTGCTCCCAAACAAGCTGAAAATACTGTAAGAAGAGCTTTTCTAGTGGTAATTTAGTACTTTGGTTTCCTGTACCAGTAAAGACAGAATATAGAAAGTATAAAGGGGGGAAGAAAAAGCTTATCTAAAGATCTTTGACTAAGGTCTGGAATGGAAGTTGGTTAGCTGTACCAGCAGCAGTAAGAATCATACTTTCACTTGTGTTGCTTCATTCTTCTGGAACTTATTTAGCTTTCCCCTAGGATGCCTCCTCTCTGGCTTCAAAACCTTCCTTAGCTCTTTATCATAAAATTCAGCACAGGAACATTTTTGTAGTGCTTCTCATGAAGGAATTAGCTAAATCCTAGAAGTGAGACCTCTATCGTAGAAGGGTTGATAACACTGGAGGAATATTCCAAGTTCAGCAAAGCGTTTGAATATTTGCTTAACTTAGGCACCTAATTAAACACTTTGCTGACTTCAGTTGGGTTATTCACTTGCTTAAATACTTTGCAAAATCAGGACCTAAAACTCACAAATTTTTAATATGTTTCTTCAAATATTAATCAATCTATTTTATAAAACTTTTCATGCATTCATTACAGTTGAAGGGCCTCTGTGCAATAAAATGTTTCATTTTTCAGTAACAAAATCTCTGGAAATATGATTGATAAGGGATCTACAGAAACCAAATTAGCAGACAAGAAATTACCCTTCCATTAATTTACTTTATGTATATGCAAATCCTAGAATTGTACTGAGATGAGTTATGCCACACTCCATAAAATTACCAGCAGCAAGAAAGAACTAGATTTCTGGAGAGTCATATGGAGAGTGTTCAGATTTCCCATTCCATACATGATAAACCAGGTGTGAAATATAGAGGGTTGTATAAGAGGCCATGTGGGTCCCTTGTATGAGCCAACATGTTGTAAATGGTAGCTATAAGACAGGACAAAAATCTGTTTGTAGCCATTTGATCCTGTGCTGGTGTATTTCCACCGATAAAGCTGTTCTTCCTCCCTGATATTTACTGCATGAACATACTTGTAAAAAATGATCATATCTCCTTTCAATCTCCATTTTGCTAACCTGAAAAGCCAAATTTACATTTTGAACAATGCTGTTTAAGTGGTTGAAAAGCTCCTGAGAAGCACAGCTCCATAGATCCCCAAATCCTAGCTCCCCAAACCTAAGCTTCATGCACCCTAAAGCCCCCTGTATTTTTGTGTAACATGGAAATATAATTGACATAGATGATCTCCAATATGGTAGTGAGAAAATTGCTGCAAGCAAAGTCAAATGCATGGTATGCTTTTTTGCATACCAATCCTTAGAATGATTTTCCAGTTCATTTAATTCATAGTAGACCTGGAAAATGATTGAGCCTGGGCAAAATACACTGCACAATTTGGTCAGGTTTGCATTTGTGCTGAGTACTTGTCTGTATGCTGACCCAGGCAGTGATTTAAACCTAATGTAGAGAATGAAATGGAGGGATTAAATCCTAATCTTTTTTGCTTCTCGTTCAGATCGCGGAGATCAGGTCACCTAGTTCATCCTGTAGTTCCTGCTAAAATGAGCCATATAGATAGATAGATAGATATCGATCCTGATATATGCATATGTATGTGTGTGTGTGTGTGTGTATGTGTATATGTATATATATGTGTGTGTATGTACACACACACACACACATCATTACTAAAATATCTGCTCAATAAATTCTTACAAAACACCAGCCTGGGGAAATATGCCAGATAGTTTTGCTTTGTTATAATACCTACCGACAGCCATCAGGTTCCTGCCATAACAGCAGCACCACCAATACGCATTTGGAATGAAACACCTGCCAGTGCATTTTTCAGGGGCAGTATTTCAAGGCTATATTTGGTAGCCTCGATCACCCAACAGAAGGGCTTTAGGACAATGCCCATGTTGCTTAAAGGCTTTCCTATTATTTCTGTGCCCAAAGGTCCTCATACCTTCACAGTCCGTCAGAATGGTTCTAGTTTCTATTAAACTATTTTTCTTTTCTATTCTGATGTTGGTAGGTATGATATTAATAAAAATCTGTATTTTATAACCAACCCCAACAGTAAAATTGTGAGACTGTCCCAACAGAGCTAAGAAAAAAAGGTTACAACCACATGATAAATTTACCATACTCCAGAGCAAGGGCTTCAGGCCCCCTGTTCTGCTCTGGCTGCTCTGCTTCCTAAACTGGAAGCCATATCTACATAGGGCTGCAAGCAGATTAATTAACATGGGGGCAAGCTACTTGCACTGTCAGTCGGCAGTTCAAATTAGCTCACCAAAAGAATTGTGTGGATACATCTATACTGCATCCAGCTTAAGTGGCAGCCTGCCTGGAGCAACCTACCATGCTTGAGGGTGACACTCTGGAGGATAATAATTTACTGTATAGATGTGGCCAAACTCTTTTAGCCTATGGCAGTAGCAGACTCATAAACCTCTTCTAAGGGAGGGTTTTATTTTAAGATCAATGCAATATATTATCAAATGTTAGGCATAAAGAATAACCTAGTGGCAAATAAACAATCCTCTGGTATCAGCTTGCAGTTACACCAAAGTTGATTTTGACCTATTTTGCTTGCTGATAGTTGTTTTGAAATACCTGTATCTTTGCCATTGGTGATGGCAGCACTTGTGTGTCATTTTTCATTTATTACAATCAAGCTTTTAATTTGAATGCACTTTGGCTGATGAAGTATATAAGGCCTCCTTCAATTCAGATAAAAACTTAAAAGCATACCTAACTCCATCCCCTTTTGTGACAACATTTAAGCACTTGCTTTGTTTTAAGCTATAGTATTATCCTGAACAGCAATCATTTCCTGAATCAGGGCTCAATTGTACAAAGTATTTTTTTCTTTGGATGTAGAATAATACTTTCATATTCACTTTACCCAGATGAACGATTGCCTACTTTCAGTTTCATATGGCAGTTTTTTGGGGTTTGTTTTTTGGGAGGTTTGGGTGGAGGGTTGGTTTTCTTTTTAATAAAAGTTCCAACATTAAGTTTTCAGCACAACAGCAGCCGTGGCTGGGTTTATAAGCAAGACTTGCCAATGCATGTAAACATTAAATACAGATATTCGTGCAATCAGATGTTGCATGGGGTTGTCTTCATTAAAGTGGTATATTAGCATCTACCATTATACTGCTCTCCCATGGTGAAAACATTCTGGATCAGAGGAGGCCTGCCATTTCACACACACTCCAGCTGTTCCCTTCACCCACCACTGTCAAGCCAAGTTTTAATGAGTTGTGTGTATAGAAAGCAAACTAAGAAATTCAGAGTAAGATTGTTAGTTTCTTTCCAGTGTTCAGAAGCAAGATCAGAGAATTTCCAAAGGAAGTTATTTTTCCAGCCTTGTGAAACAAGTTGCTGGAGGGCAGTGTTTGGTTTCTAGACCATGGTGTGTGACTTACTAGCCACTGGGTCCCTGCCTTCACTCATCAACCCTTTGCCTCCTACTGCAGTGCCACCTTCCTGACTCTCCTGCCCCATTTGTTATCCTTCTTTTGTTCTTTTCTCTTCTGCTCTCTTTTGCTTGTTCTTTCCTTGCTTGCGTTTTGAATTTTTTTTGGAGGGGGGATTTTTTGTTTAACTCCCCAAGTGGTTCCTTTTTTAATTTTGTTGTGTTTTCCCATCTTCTTCCATCTTTTGACTGAAAGATTTTCTCCCACTCATGTCTTCTGCTGATGGCTCCCAAAGAGCCCAGTGGAGAAAAATAGAACCTCTGGCTGGAAGTTACACCCCAGAGACTCAGC